CAGCACAGTGTCTGATACAAAGTAGAGTTTCAAGACAATTAAATTCATTATTAATGATTACTAGGAGAAAATCTAAACAAAAGACAGATAAACAAAAACAGTGGGGGTTTCATCCCATACAAGGTTGTCTCCCTTGGAGCCCAGCTTTCCTGAGTAACGAGTCTCCACACACCTGGACTACACACTTGTTCAATGGTTATAGACACATGTCCACTGACACTTTTAATCAAGGCTGGCTGGCTCTCTATTAGAATGAGCTGACAAAAGCAAGCAGACACTCCAGAGCACAGCTTACTGATGACTTGAGCCTATCTCCAAATTTTTGCTACTGCTCTCTTCTACGTCTAAGGGAAAGTCAGGTAGAGCAAAAGTACCCAGAACAAGTCTGATAGATTACTGGAACCACCCTGGGCAAGGCAGCTAGCACTGACAGAATAAAGGTCCTAAGACTTCCTTTTTTCTCTCTTCTTTTAAAATAATAACTGGGATAATGAAGTACCCCTCTTCTTCCATTGTGGAAGCCTAAGTGGCTCTGCTACAACCTCGGTTGCTCTGCAAGCAACAGGTCCTGAGAGATCCCTGGGGAGGAAGGTACACACCCCAGAAGCCAGGAAATAAAGTTCTTGACATTCAGGATGTAGCTACAGATTTCTCTCAAGAGGAGCAGGAATGCCTGGACCTTACTCAGCAAAATTTGTATAAGGATGTGGTATTAAAGAACCTTGCTTGAAGAAGAAACCAGAGGGGCTGGGGATTTAGCTCAGTGGCATAAGCGCTTGCGTAGCAAGTGTAAGGTCCCGAGTTCAATCCCTGGTACTGCAAAAAAACAAAAACAAAAACAAAAAAAGAAGAAACCAGAGAACAAAAATGAAGATGTGAATGGCTGGCACTCAACAGCTGTCATAATACCTGGACCAAACCACAAAGCCAGAATATTTGCACAGGATGATGAGATCTATTAACAAGAGTGGCTCGGCAATTCCTAGGACATGCTAACCATGATCAATTGCATGTCCAAGTCTCACACATCTTTTGGAACAGCACCCCTGAACATTACTGGGCAGTAGCCCATCCCAGCAAATCCATAAAAGCTTGCTGCTTTCTTTGTTCTGAGAACAGCCTAATCCCCCTTTAATTGATAATGGGTAGCTCTCTTCAGCTGAAGCCCCTCTTCGCCCATTATCTGTGTATATAAAAAATACCTGATTTCCTGACAATAAGCACAATGAACTTTCCCTATAGTCTGCTCTTAATCACAATTTCACACACTGACTCTCAGCCACACAGCACAGTCTCAGATGGAGATAGATCAAGAGTTTACCTTTCCTTTCCCCTGCTGTCTCTATGCTTCCAAATAATGTCAGGCCCTTCTAATGGAACTAAAATAAAGACAAAGGTAAGACTTTTAGTCTATAGCTCCAAAAAGACTTCCAGCAAATACCAACCCATATTCTGAGCCACTGTGAATTATAAATATGTCACATTTATACCCTAAGATTAAAAAAAAAAAAATAGTGTACAAAAGGGCTGGGGATCTAGCTCAGTGCCTGGCACTGCCTGGCAAGCACAAGGTCCTGAGTTCAATTCCCAGTACCAAAAAAAAGTACATTTATACCCTAGAAACAAGTACAATACAAAGATATTTTAGCAATAACCTCAGTTTTCCAAGCATACTGGGCACTATATTTTGGAACCCAACATATGAAAAGTCTCTTAGGAGGTTGAGATTCTGTTGACTATCAGTAGATAGGGGCTTTCCACATCTGAGGTTCAGACAGCACAATTATTAAAAAAAAAAGAAGAAGTTTTCCTGAGAAATACGCCGTGAAAGAAAAGGAGTGGTACACACCTGTAATCCCAGCACTCAGGAGGACTAGGCAGGAGGATCACTGCAAGTGCAAGACCAGCCTGGGCTACAAAGTCAAGGCTCAAGTTCAGCCCAAACTACATATGGAGACCTTATCTCAAAAAGACCAAAAAAAAAAAGAATATTGTGCTGGACAACTTGAAACACAAATTACAACAATTATTATAATTACAATTAAAATAGGTAACAGGGTATTTCTTAAACTTAATTGAGGGACCCCAAGAAAACAGCACTTACTTACAGAAATACTTGATGGCAATAAGAGGATGGGTCACCAAGCACAGAACTTGCCTACCACATTGGCAATGACTGTGCCTTCCAGGTAAGTCAGCAACTGTGACATTATATTTTTAACACGCCTAGGAGCCCAAGATTATTTATAATACAAGAGTTTTAAAAACTTGAAAGAGAGATGAATTTTAAAACATACACATTTACATACGTGGGCAGAAACACAAAAATCAGATACCACTCAACACAGCTCCAAGAGCCATAACTCATGAGTTTCACAATCTCACCCAACACCCAGAGAAAATCCAGGCGCCTTCTCAAGAGATAGTGGGAGGCTGGGTAGGTAGCCAAGAAACAAAGAAACCTAAACTCAGCACTTGGCAGGACAATTAAGGAGCAGAGGGTTTTAAATGCATTGTTTCTGACTCTAAATATGTCTACATTTATTACCAATTTGGGATCAGAAACTACATTTAGTTCTGCCATGACCATGCGCTAAAAATATTAAGCAGAGTATTGCCTAGGAAACAGTAGTCCTCCGTGCTGCAGCAGCCTCGTTTCACAGCCACCTCAGCTCCAGTCCCAGGGCTCCCCATCAGGATGATGAGAGCCTGTTTATGAGCAGAACTGCCACTCTCTGGCTAAGGCCTCATTTGCATCTCAGAAGGCACCAAAAGAAACCAGATCCAGGGGCTGCCCAACTTCCTCAGGCCTCCCAGGGCTGTCTTTAGAGGCCCATGAAGCGTTATTTCTGCTTGACAGATCTATAACAACTAGAACCCACCTGACTGGGAGCTCCACGAGGTTAAGTACAATTGTGTGACTAAGCCAATGCTATACCCTCATTATTCAGAACTGCGCCTGGCACGCAAAAAATATCACTTGCTATATATGGTAGTGTAGACCTGTAAACCCAGTTCTCTGAATGACTGAGGCATGAGGAAACCAAATTTCAGTCCAGCCTGGTCAACTCAGCACTTAGCAAGACCCTGTCTCAAAACTTTAAAAAAAAGTAATTAAACTGAGTGAGGGCTCAGTGTGTAGGCTGGGTTCAGTCCTCAGTACTACAAAAAAATAAATATACAGACATAGATATAATCTATACTAGGCATGGTAGTTCCTGCCTGTAATCCCAGTACTACTGGAGGCTGAGGCAGGAAGTCTGCAAATTCAAGCCTAGATTGGACAATTTAGTAACTTTTTTCCCAATAAATAAAAGCAATACTCTAAAAAAAAAAAAAAAGTCATATAAAACAGCACAACTGGAGCCTGGCATGGTGACACATATCTATCTCAGCACTTGGGAGGCTGAGGATTGCCACAAGCTCAGGACCAGCCTTGGTGACAGTGATCACATTCAATATCAGCCTAAACTGATACTAAAACCTATTTCAAAAAAATAGGATAAATAAAAACAGCATAATTGGAACTGATGCTGCCATTAAAAAAGGTTTTAAAAAATGGATTGCAGATACATGAAAACAGGAACATAAAATATTTTTAATAGTACATGTTTGTAGTACACCTTGATTACCATCATTGTGGAAAGCAGGTACATGTACATAATGTATCTTAATTTTTTTATTCCTCTTCTCCTCCCTTCCCTGCATCCTCCATTTCAACATAGGAAGCACAAAAACACAATGGCACACATATATAAATTACTGCATCAAAAAAGGTAAATGTGACTACTTTTGTGATCACCTGGGAACTTTAAATTGTGGAAAGCTATGCTCAGTGGAGTCTTTTGTCTTGAAATGTTAGATATGAGAATATACTTTGTGTTTGGTGCTAAGAATTAAACTCATAGTCTCAAACATGCTAGACAACTGGTCTACCACTGAGCTATATTCCTAGCCCAAAACAAATTATTATTTTCAACATACACCCACTCCCTTTTCAGCTGACTTGTTCTGATCTCTTGGCTGGCCTAGAAGCCTTGTTCCTATTAAGTGAGCCTGGGGCTAGACATCTATCCATTAGCCCAAGGAAACAGAGAACACACAAGAAAAGCCAATCTTAAAGTCCAGCTCATTAACTTGACCCTGTTGGCGAGGGAAGTTTCCTGTCTAGCTCCTCAGAAGATGGCAAAGATAAAACTGTCAAGACAAAAGGTATAGAAAAAGTTGGTCACACCAGAGCTTCAAATAGGCACCCGCAGGTCAGGGAGCCCAGGACTCACAGGACAGCAAAGCCTTCTCAAACTCTTCCAAAAACAGAAAACACAGGAATATTTCCTAATGTGTTCTATGATACCAGTGTTATTCTGATACTAAAACTAGGAAAAAGACACAAGAAATATTGCAGGCCAATATTACTCAAGAACATACATGCAAAATACTGTGAACAAAATGTTATCAAACTGAATTCAACAACATATTAAAAGGATCATACAATATGACCAAGTGGTACTCATCCCAGGAATACAAGGGTGGCTCAACAAGAAAATCAATGTAGTATACATATTACTAGAATGAAGTTTTTTGTTTTTATTTGTTTGTCTTCATTTTTGTTTTTGTTTGGTTTGCTTTGTTTTTTGAGACAGGGTCTCACTATAGAGTTCAACCTGGTCTGGGCTGGCCTTGAAACTGCACTGATCATCTTGCCTCTGCTTCTTGAATGCTGGGGTCACAGATGTGTATTGCCATACTTTTTTTTTTTTTTTTTTGAGGAAAAATGAATAGTTTTAATCACAGAATAAAATACGCTTAGCTCCACTGATAAAGAAAAGGTATTTTTAAAAATCCAATACTTTTTTAGTGATAAAAACACTAAATAAGCCTGGAAAAGAGAGTATCTTCAACATAATAAAGGACATACATGAAAAACTTGTGGCTAGAATCATATCTAATAGTGAATGACTAAAAGTTTTTCTCCTAAGACCAAGAATAATAAAAGATACCTGGGCACAGTGACGCAAGCTTGTAATCCCAGCATTCTGGATGCAGAAGCAGGAGGAGTCAAAGACATCCTGAAATATATAGTGAGACCTTGTCTCAGAAAAACGCAAAAGGAAATAAAAAAGATAAAAGATGCATACATTTACCATTTCCATAACACACTACGACAGTTTCAGCTGGAGCAATTGGGAAAAAGGGCAGGGGGTGCATATTGGAAAGGAAAAAGTAAAACTTTCTTTGTGTAGGTAACACAATTTTATATGCAGAAAGCACTAAAGAATAAATAAACAAAGCCAGACATGGTGGCATAGGCCTGTAATCCCAGCACTCTCGAGGCTGAGGCAGGAGGATCACTGCAAGTTCAAGGTCAGCCTGGGCCACAAAGTGAGTTCAAGGTCAGCCTAATCTTCATTGAGACTCTGCCTCAAAAAGACAAAAAAATAAATAAATAGCAAAGTTACAGAATATAACATCAATATTCAAAATTAGTTGTATTTCTATATAACAATAATAAATAATCTGAAAATAAATTTAAGGAGGCAATTTTATTTAGAATAATTTCAAGCAACTAGGCATTGTGGTCCATGCCTATAAATCCTAATACTCTGAAAAGATAACAAGTTTGACCCCATTCTGAGCAATTTAACAACAACAAAAATTTAGCCTACAATACTAGCACTCTGGAATACTGAAGCAGGAGGATCATGAGATCAGGCCAAGTCTCAGCAACTTAGTGATTTAACAAGACCTTGTCCAAAATAAAAAACGGAAAAAAAAGGGCTGGGAATGTAGATCAGTACAAAGATATGGGTTTCAATCTTCAATATGACTGACAGGTAGACAGATAAAAGACTGATGGATAGATGGATATAGGAAGGCAAGAAGGCAGGCAGGAAGGAAAGAAGGAAGAAAGCAAATCAAGCTAGAAATGGGGTTAAGACAGGACTGTGAGTTCAAGAGCAGGCCAGCTACGTAGCATTTTCAAGGTTAACCTAGACTACATGGCAAGACCCTCTCTCTCTCTCAATCAACCAACCAACCCAAGAAATTCAGGGGGGATAAGGATCAAAACATACACATTTCAGACATGGTGGTACACTCCAGTAATCCCAGCACTCGGGAGGCTGAGGCATGAGGATTGCAGCCCAGCTCATACTCGAAATAATTGTGAAAAAGGACAAAGTTAGAGAATCAAGAGCAAATTCTGATTTCTAAACTTACCACAAAGCTAGAATAATCAAAAGTATAATATCGACATAAGGATAAAACATAAACCAATGAGGGGTAGGGGATATAGCTCCGTGGCACAAACACCTGTGTGGCAAGCATGAGGTCATGCATTTGATCCCCAGTATAAAATAAATAGACAAACAAACAAACACCAATGGAATAAAATTGAGTGGTCAGAATTACACTCTAACATCTACAATGGATTTGTGTGTATGTAATACTTGCAGGTATTAATGCAGATTGAACATGCCAAGGGAGCACTCTACCTCCAAGCTATATCCTTAATCTTTTTTAAAATTTTGAGATACTGTCTTGCTAAATTGCCCAGGCTGGCCTCAAATTTGTAGTCCTCCTGCCTCAATCTTCCTAGTAGCTACAATCTGTTTGTTTGTATGTTTGTTTGTGACAAGGTTTCACTTTATATAGTGTAGGCTGGCCTTGAATGCAGGGTGATCCTTTTGCCTAAACTTTCTGAGCACTAGGATTACAGTCAACTGATTTTTTTTTTTTTTTTCTTTTTGAGACAGAGTCTTGTTATGCAGTTCAGGTAGGCCTTGAGCTCATTTTGTAGCCCAGGTTGGTCTCAAGCTCACAACAATCCTCCTGCCTCAACCTCCCAAACTCTGAGACGACAGGTGTGCTCTACCACGCCTGCTCAGTCAATCAATTTTTTGCAAGTATACCTTTGACTAAAAATGGATCAAAGACCTAAAAGCTGAAAGACAAAATTATAAAATTCTTAGAACAAGACGTAAGGGCAAACTTTTAAGACTTTGATTTGGCAATGATTTCTTAAATATGTCACCAAACTCACAGGTGATAAAAGAAAAAAAAAACAAACAGATAAACTGACCTTCAATAAAATTTAAAATTTTGAAGGCAGGCATGATGGGTGTAATCCTAGCATTTGCCAGTAATCCTAGCATTTGGAAGGCTGAGGCAGGAGGATTGAAGGAAATTTGAGGTCAGTTTGGGCTACATAGTTACATAGTAAATTCAAAACTAGCCTCAATTACATAAAAAGATTCTGTCTTGAGAAGAAAACATACATAAATTAAAGTAAAAATGATCAGCCAAGTGTGGTGGCTCTACACTGAACTTGTGTTTGTCCTATAATCCAGTACACTTCGAGGCTGACGCAGGACAATAGCAAGGCAGAGACCTGCATGGGTAACTTAGCAAACTAACAAGACTCAGTCTCAAATTCTTTTTTAAAAAAGTAGTAGATACAGAATTTGTTTGGGACGATTAAAAAAAAGATTCAGTGGTGATGGTTACCTTGTTAATCTAATTAATGCTACTGAATTCTATCCTTTAAAATAGGCAGAATGACAAATTTTATGCTGTATGAAATCTACCACACTAAAAATTTTTAAAGTAATGTAATGTGTCTATTCTCTAATAACTGCTAAAACTGGATACTGGGTACATGGTAACACTGTATTGTTCTCTCATCTGAAAAGTTAAGAAATAAAAATGATGTTTTCTGTAGTTTTTTGGTAGACATTCTTTTGTCCAAGTAAAGAAGTTCCTAACTTTTTTTCTAAACTGTTAAGGAGGTTTTATCATGAATGAATATTATATTTTATCATGTGATTCTCTACATCTACAAAATGATTGCATAATTTTACCTTTAACCCATTAATGTGGCAAATTTTGTCAGTACATTCTCTAAAGTGAATGTACCTTTTAAGACACTTTAGCTACTAGGATAAGCCCCACTTGGTCAGATGCTTAATTTTATGCCCTGTTAGATTTTACTTGCCATGTTTTGTTGTTCCTTCATATATTCCCATAATTCTCTGTTCATTTATCACGAGAGCCACAAAACTCTTACTATAAATATGAACTCCCTCAGGGCATAGACTCATCTACTATTCTATTCCTAGTTAGTGTAAGTCTAACACATAGCAAACATGGCTGATGAGCAAATAAGTAAATGAAACTGTAAGTGGAAAGATGAAAAGGTGGACAAATGAACACCTTAATGCAGAAAAATGACATAGGCAAACACAGAGGAGCTCTTTGAGACAGAGAAACACTCAAAAGGGTCATCAACCACTCCATAAAGGTATGTGCTCTGTCTGTAACAACTCAGTTTGTCTGCAGCTCTATAAACCAACTCCTGCGTATTCCACTGGCCCTCTTTACCCAATGAGCAACATTCCACAGTTTAGTGCCTACCTGCAGCCTACATAATGCAGCCCTCAAAGCACAAAACACCTCCAACTTCAGGTCCTATGTTGTCACTGAGGATGAGTGTAGCATTACTTTTGAACTTAAAGTGTTCCTCTCAGAGTTTATTCCCAACAATCAAAACGCCCTCAACCCAATCCTGATTGGCACAGAAAGAGCCTATGCTATTAACAATTCACTGCATCAGCAGAACAGAGGAGGAGAGTAATCAGCAAGAGAAGCAGCTGAATTATTTCAGCAGCTGTAAATTATGTGTTCTTTCCTATTCTCTTCCAAGTCCACATCAACTGTGCCCCACGCCTCCACACTGAACTTTGTCAAGTATCTATGTCAACCACAGTAACCAAGAAGTTCAAGAAGCAATATTAAAAAGCACTAATTAACTGATATTTAAATAACTGTGTTTAATGTCAACAAAAATCACACTTTAACTTTAAACATCCCATAGTCTATCAGTTGTCTAATTAAATTCCTTAAGATCTTGGATACTGGCACAGAACACTGCCCTGAAGAGCTATTCCTAGGCCCTGGCCTTAGCAGGATGTAGAAGAGGGGTGGCCCATATCCCCAGGGAAGTGACAGGAGAGCCCTGATTTTCTTCTAGAGTCTCCTAATGAGGGAGCTTCTCTTCACAGCTCTGCTGGTCTCCACAGGGCAGCAATAACATGACAAATAAATACGTTCTGAGCATGGAAAAGTGCCAAACTGAGATATAATTTATTTTTTAAAGTGAAATTTTAAAATTTTTTTTTTAAAAGACACATATAAACCCAAGAGAGTTATTCTTCCCATCTGGTATCTGTTCTTCTTTAGAGTGGTATATCACACAATATTCAGGCATGTGTACAGAGGATATACTACAGGATTGATGACAGCAGGTAGGGTCCGGGGGCCATGCAAGATGCCACCAACCAAATCCCAGCCTGCCAGGAGTCATCAGCCTGCAACTGACAGGGGTATAGCTCAGCCAACAGCAGTATTCTAGACTGGAACTTTTCAAAGGGACTCAGTTCCAGTGAGTGAGTTTGTGACGGGGATGCCAGCAGAGCCCAGAATTCTTTCCTGCTACAGTAAGCTCCATAGGGACAGCTTGCCAGTTACCTTGCATACCGAACCAGATTTGCTGAAAAGGAGTGACATGCCACCTACCTGCCCAAGTAAATGTCCTGGGAACATTCTTTCCAACCAACTCCAGGCAGAGCACATCTGGCCAAGGATCAGCAAGCATTGGGAACCTCCTACTTTTGGACAGTAGTAGCCCTGAATGCAATCGTACTGTGTCATGAGTAAGGCACCATCATTTTAAGAGCAACAAGCATGTGAGAGACACCAAGTGGCCCACATTTGCTTATCCTCATAGCAGAGGCCAAATTCATTCTATTTTCCATTCAGATTGACTACCTCATGTGTAGTTGGTCTTATCTTTCTTTTGGTCACTCTGTTCTTCTCTATGCCCTCCTCTGTTCTGCCTAAAGAGCTTGCCCTCCTAAACTAGGAGAGAATTCTTTTCCACGTATTCCATTCTGTCTCTTACGACTCAAAGATACCTCTTGTGGCAGCTCTCCTTAAGACAGTCACAGTAGCCCCTGGCAATGCAACAGAAAACACTAGGTAGGGGACATTCAATCAACAACCAGGAACAAGC